TTAAGGAGTTTATTGTTAATATCCTTGTTGATTATGCTGACCATAAGAGTAAGGAGTATAGAAAGGTTTATGTTAGAGGAAAGTGTGTAGAATTTTCTCCTGCCATTATAAAAAAATTTCTAGATAGGTCTGAAGATGTATGTTGTGAGCTGGAGGTAACAGACAATCAAGTGTGTAAAGCCATTCCTGCTAATCAAGTAAGTGAGTGGCCAATGAAAAACAAACTTCCTGTCAGCAACTGAGTGTGAAATATGCAATTTTACATAGGATTGGAGCTGCAAATTGGGTTCCCACTAATCACACTTCAACCATCTCCATTGGTTTAGGAAATTTCATTTATGTTGTAGGAAACCAGAAACTCTTTGATTATGGGACTTATATCTTTGATCAGACCATCAAACATGCAGGAACTTGTGCCATTAAGATGCCAATTGCTTTTCCTTCCCTCCTCTGGAATTATCCTAAATTAGCATCCTGGAATCCTAAGTAGAAATGATGTTGTATGCAAGGAGTCTGCTTTGACCCTCAATTTTAAGCTCTTTTCAGGAAAACATGTCCCAAACATTATTTTAACATCTACACCTGCTAAAAAGACCTCCACCAAGGATGATATGATCAATGAATTAAGGGAAGCCTGCAAGGAGTTAGATGATGTAATCAGAGTGAGCTCAGCTAGGAAGCTAATTTTTGAAAAAATGATCAAGGATCTGCAAAAGGACAACAACCTTGATGATACAGTGAGCTATGAAGGTGAAGACTCTAGTGTAAAAATAAGTTCTGGTTCAACCAAGTCAACTGGTCCTGATGACAGTTAGACTGCTAAATGTCTCCCTGGACTCTTTGTTTCTTTGTTGACACTTGCATGTGCTTGACATTTGAATCATATGGTATGTACCCTAATACTGATATTATCTTGAATGCATCCTTTCTTTGGCATATTATGACTAAAAAGGGGGAGAGAAAGTAAGTGAGTGACTGACTAACCACTGACTAACCAGTGACCATTGATTGGGTGGGAGCTCAATACTTGAGGGGGAGCCTCATGTCTCAGAAGATGTTTTGACATCTTCCTTTGCTAACAACTAACTGCTAACTGAATGTATATTTTGATTTCCTTGCTTATGCTGATGCCCTGATAATGCTCTAATAATTATGCTGCTTCTCTGATAATATGCTCTAATAATGTTTTAGCCAAAATTTGCCAAAGGGGGAGTTTGTAAGTGTTTGTTGGCAGCAATTTTGGTAAAACAAGACTTGTTAATGTTTTGCTAAATGTCTTAACATTTGGAGCAAAAATATTTTGAATGATGTCAAAGCATATGTCTTGACATCTGCCTACTGAACTTGTCTCAGCCCAAAACCAGTTATGTCTTTTGTTTCCTGTTTTCATGCGTGGCATAATTCAGGATTTGTGATCTACAGGCTGCAAAAAATATGGAGGAATATTTTTCAAATTGCATAATTTTTCTTGGCCTGTTTTTATGGAAATATTCAAAAGATTTGAATATTTGTTTTTAAGCCCAAGCCCAAAGCTTCGCATATATAAGAACTTGCTTCCTTATTCAAAGACAAGCAAATTTTGAAGAAGAATACTTTCTTTCTGATTAGAAGTCTAGGCTTTTTATTTGCAATACACTCTGAGTATTAGTTTAAATACTTAAATTGTTATTTGGGTTGTTAATTGTGTATCATTCATAAGCTTTTAACCATTGAATGATTAAAGTGTTTTAAACTTATTAATTTTGTTAAGTTCTTCACTGTAAGTGATTGAAGGGATTTGAGGATGGCCTCATACCTAGGTGAGTCTTAGGTAGAATTTTAGTTTGGGTAGTGATTAAGTGATTAGATCGTAAACTGGTTGTTTATTGAGGGTCTATGAATTGATACTATTTAGTGAACTTGTTCCTGGCTTGGTAGCCCCCAGAGTAGGTGTTGTTGTACACTGAACTGGGTGAATAATCTCTTGTGTTTTTACTGCTTTTGATTTTACTACACCTTACTTGCAAACAAATATTTGTGTCGTGACATCTCATTTGATATCACATATATGATACCAGAATTTCATCCATAATACATGTTTTTGTATCGTATACTTTATAACCTCTAGAGCGTTCTGAGTATCTCAACATAGTACACTTTTGTGCTTTAGAATCAAACTTGTTCATATTACTTTTAGTATCCATAATGAAGCACGAACATCCAAATAGATGAAAATAAGAAATGTTGGGTTTTCATCCCTTACACAACTCATATGGAATCTTTTCCAGAATAGGTCTTATAGAGATTCTATTATGAATGTAACATGTTGTATTTACAGCTTCTGTCCAGAAATGCTTAGCCACATTAGTTTCGTTGATCATAGTTCTGGTCATTTCTTGCAGTATCCTATTCTTTCTTTCTACAACTTCATTACAAATAACACCATAGATCATGGAATCTATTCTGCTTCTGTCTACATTATCGTTTAGGAACTTCTGAAAAGCTTTATCATGTTGGTACATGACAGTTTCAGAAGATTGAGAAGCTTTAGAAAGAGTTTTTTCAGGTTTTGAACATTTTTTACTTAGAAACACATTTTCATTTTTTAAAATAAAATAATCATCTTTTTGTTCAAGACCTTCTTTCTCTAGCTTATCGTATTCTTCAATTTCATATTCATGAATCTTCAGAAGATTCTTGAATTTTTGTTGAAGCTTCTGATACTTGTTCAGAGTTTCTAATAAGTATAATTCTAATTCAGCTCGAGAGTATTCAGAAAATATCTCTTCAAATTCGGACTCTATTTCTAATGAGTTTCCCTATGATGTGGAGGCCATGTTTCCATGAGACCTTTCTTCTTTCCTTTGAAAGTACTTTTCTTGAAGCTTTCTTTTCTAGTGCTCTCCTTCTTGATATTTGGACATTCATTTTGGTAGTGTACAGGCTCATTGCACTCAAAACATGTTACTTCATTACTATCTCTTCCTTTATCATATGCTTCTGAATGATCTCCTCTATTTCTGAATCTTTGAAAGTTATTTTGCCTTTTCTATCCAAGTTTTTTAACTCTTCTGGATATAAGTGACAATTCATCTTCATCATCTGAACCTTCATTGTCAGAATCTTCTACTTCTTCATGTTTGAACACATTGTTCTTTTCTGACTTGGGTCTTTCTATTCTAGACCTTAGAGCAAGGAATTTGTTCCTTTTCTGAGACTCATCTTCTTCTAGCTCTATCTCATGACTTCTAAGCGAACTGACTAACTCTTCAAGAGTTATTCTATTCAAATTCTTAGAAAGCTTTAAAGCAGTGACCATAGGTCTCCATCTTTTGGGAAGACTTCTGATGATCTTGTTAACATGATCAGTTGTGGAGTATTCTTTTTCCATAACCTTAAGTCTTGCTACCAATGTTTGAAACCTTGAGATCATAATTTCAACTGTTTCTTCATCTTTCATTCTGAAGGCTTCATATTTCTAAATTAAGGCCAAGCCCTTAGTTTCTTTGACTTGTGCATTGCCTTTGTGTGTCATTTTGAGTGAGTTAAGAATGTCCTTTATTGTTTCTCTGTTTGTAATCTTTTCATATTCATTGTACGAGATTGTGCTGAGAAGGATAGTTTTAGCTTTGTGATGATTCTTGAAGTTGAGCTTTTGATCTTCATTCATTCTATTTATGGGAATAAGAATACCATTTGCACTGACATGTTCTTTATAACCATTTATAACCATTTCTCAGAGATCAATATCATTGCCTAGAAAGAATCTTTCTATTTTATCTCTCCGACGTCAAATTTCTCTCCATAAAATATAAAAGGTTTATCACTATATCTATCTCTATCGTTTGTGCTAGCATCAACCATTTACAAGGTTTTTCTCACACTTGATCTCTCTAAACAGATAAGTATTTAATTAGAAAATCAATAACAGAGTCGAAGCTCCGATACCAATTGAAGGTTGAGAAAAACACAAGAAAGGGAGTTTGAATTAGATTTTCAAAAAAACTTTTTCGTTTAGAAGTGCTTTACACAAGCAATCAAAATTAGAAAAAATGCTTTAGAAAAGAAATAACGTCACGTTCAATTTATACAAATTACCTTAGAAAAGGTTAATCATGTCCACCAGTCAATGTGATTTCGCTTTTAAAAGTACTTAATCCACTAATCTTGAAAAATTACAAATGCACGGGCTACCCGCCGGTGACTAACAACAACAATGATAACCTGTTAGTGATCTTTAAGAATTTTACATATCCGATCCCCTAAGACATATAACAATCACCGACTCCTTAAGACTTCTCACCTACCTAATTCCTTGAAGGAGATTTCTCTATGTCTTCTTTAGTATTCTGACATATCTAATCACTCAAGAAACAATCAACTTACAGTTTAATAATGTGTTTACAAATTTGCTTCTTTCAAATAGATTACACAAATGTTTAAATACAAATTTTGTAACACAAATATGAACAACAATTCTTATATTCAAATAAATTACAATAAAAACATAATAATTAAAAACAAATCTTGTGTTTTAACAAATGATAATAAGAACACATTTATGAACAACAACTCTTATTTTCTTAATCAAATAATAATATCAACACAATAGTATAACACAGGCCACTTTGAAGTATAGGTGCCTAAATGTCTGCCATAAAAATTGACCGCGCAGCTGAAACACTACGTTTCAATATCTGTAAACCTGAAACGCGATGGAGTTTCCAGCCATTGAGCTTGTAACAGATGTGGTGTTGTAATTTTTCAAAGACACGTTTACAAAACGTTATAGATAAAACCTTTTTTTGGGAAAAAATGATAGATTCCTATTGGTCTTAATTAATCCAGCAGTGCATAACCAAACTAGATAAAATGAATAATAACAAGAAGTAGAAGAACTAGCATAATATAATAACTTAAATAAAACTTAATAAACTTTGGAACTTGGATACAAATTTACCTATGTCAACTTATTTATAAAGCTCAACTAGTATTTAAGCCTCAAAACTCAACCATCTAATTTATTCATCAAACCTTGGCTCAGATGGGAATGATGCATCCCATCCAAGCAATGTGCTCCCAATCTTGTGGTAAGAGTAAACATTAACAGCTGCAAGTTTAACAAGTTCTGGGCTAAGAGGATCGTTATACCAGTCAAAATCCATGCTTAGAGGCCTATGCTTCCTTAAATCAAGATTATTGACCACAAACGCTAGTTCATCAACGCCACAATAACTCAGACGAGGCTTATTCATAAGACTAGCAGCCAATGGTGTTTGGGATGATTATTAATGAGTATAGAATCTCGAAAACATCACTGGGCGTCGATGCAGTAAGTAAGCTCGAGGCCTTAAATAACACATCTCGTGAATTTCTTTCCTTCAAGTTTTGTTTTGATATTGTAACTTTTGGGAACATATGAAAATAGACACGTCTTCTGATATATCTTTTCTTCTTCCATACACATGCCACTACTTATAATTAATGACATAGTGCATATATTTAAGTACAGATGATTTGGAATATACATGCTTCTCGTACCTCCCAAAATAATTAATTCAATTCATATAAATTAAAAAAGGTGTATAAAATACTTATCGTATCTCTCTATGTTTTTATCCTAATCTCATAAGGACTGTCGGCTCTGGTTAAGGAGCGGTGGCGAGAAGTAATATTCATGACATTCAGATATACGCGGGAAGTAACATTCATGACATTCAGATATACGCGGGGCACTTAGTGTGTCCCACTTATTTTTTGCTAATGATTATTTTTGTTTTGTAGGATTGATTTATCGGAGGTGAAGACCCTCATGAGTTTACTTAAAACATATGGTCATGCGTTAGGTTAAGAGATAAACATGACAAAGCCAGAAGTCTTTTTTAGCAATAATTTGAGCAATCTGGTTAAGGAAGATCTTGCTGGTATGATGGGAGTTCGTCATGTTCTGGAGAGCGGCAGTTACTTGGGATTGTCATCTATGATTGAAAGAAGTAAAAAGACTACTTTCTCTTATAAGATCGAATCTGGAAAAGGATTAATTATTGGAGAGATCGTTCATTATCCAAAGCGGAGAAGGAAGTGATGATAAAAATCAGTGTTACAGGCAATCCCAGCGTATCATTAGCATTTACATTATCCCTGATGCTGAATTCTTTTTGGTGGGGAGGAAGCAACAATAACAAAGGTATAAGGTGGATGGCGTGAGAGAGACTGACTAATATCAAGATGGAAGAATGGATGAGATTCCGTGATTTTAGATCTTTTATTATGGCAATAGTAGCTAAATAAAGGTGGTTCGTTTTGTCTAAATCCCAGACACTAGTTTCTCAGATATTCAAAGCAAAATATTTTCCTCGAAAACTAGGGTATAATCCAAGCTTTGCGTGGAGGAGTATTCAAAAAGCAAGAGAGATTCTAACTTTGGATTGTAGATGGAGCATTGATGATGGAAGTTGCATTAAAATGATGAACGAACCTTAGATTCGTGGGAGTCGTGACGGGTGTTTGGGTGAAGCTCAGAAACAAGGTGCGTATGATATTACCGTTAATAATCTCTTGCTAAATAATATTAAACAATGGGATATGAGAGCTTTAAGAGACGTGTTTGATTATGCAGCGGTGGAGGAAATTGTTCAAGTCCCGCTAGTATAAGATGTTACATAAGATATGTTGGTTTGGAAGGAAGAATAGATTGGGTGCTATAGTGTGAGGTCAGGATACATGGTGTGGAGGAACGCTATCAAAAGAGATTCAGATAGGGGAAATATGCGGATTTGGAATAGCCTGTGGAATATTAAAGCTCCTTCTAGAGTTAAACATTTACTCTGGAGGATTTGTCAGGATTGTCTTCCTTCTCGAGTGAGACTTCGTCAGCATCATGTTCTGTGTCTGAGTGATTTCCCTTTTTGTAACAATGATATAGAAGATGATTGGCATGTGTTCTTTGGCTTCCCTGAAACAAATCAATGTTGGAGGGCAGCCAGGTTGAATAATATTATTGATCACCGTCTTCAGTCATTTAATCACTACAAGAAAATGCATACCCAGCCACGTGAAGTTGCCACGTGATTTTCATGTGGCTAAATAAAACCAGTTGCGACGTGAAAATCACGTGGCAACGTGTTTTAATAATATAAAACAGAAGCATTAAGTGTGTCAGTTACTTTTTCGTTTTAAAAAAAGTAGCGACGTGGGATTCACGTTGCTAATTAAAATGTCACAAAAATTAATTAAATCACAACTTCCAACACTGACGTGTTCAGGTTTTGAAGGAAGAGAAAACAGTTGTAATTTTGTTGCGACGTGAAAATCACGTGGCAACGTTGCGGCGTGATTTTCACGTCGCTACTTGGTTTATGTAATTTATCAAAACGTTCCACAACGTTTTTGTTTGCCATTTCTTCATCTTCAACCTTCACTTCCTCTCCATACCTATTTTTTCTTCACCAAAAAATTCTCTTCTCCACACTAAAATTCCTACCATCTTCATACATTTTGTAAGGTGATTTCAATTTCATGTTTTATATACTTTGTTAATAGCTTTTGATGTGTTATTTGAGTATAATTTTTTCCCGATTTTTCTTTGAATAGAGAAGGAGAATATAGAAGTGTAGATTGCAAAAAGGGACAAGAAGATTGAAGGAGATACAAGATAAAAAGTATGTCTTGAATTTTTTTCTTCTGAATTTGATTAAATTGCATTGGGTTAAAATTGTTGAATTTGGGTTATATATATATTTTCTGTATTTGAGTTAAATGTTAGGTTTAATTATTTTGTTTATAATAATTGTTAATTATTATTTTGTGATGAATGAGTTTAATTATTTTAGGAGTTTAAGTTTTTTTATTTTTAGGAGTTTATAAATTTTTAGTGTTTAAATTAAATTTTTAGGAGTTTAATAAGTTTTTAAATTTTTAGGAGTTTATAAAATTTAGGTGTTTAAATTAAATTTTAAGTGTTTAAAAATATTTTTAGGAGTTTATAAATTTTTAGTGTTTAAATTAAATTTTTAGGAGTTTAATAAGTTTTTAAATTTTTAGGAGTTTATAAAATTTAGGTGTTTAAATTAAATTTTAAGTGTTTAAAAATATTTTTAGGAGTTTATAAATATTGTTGAAAGCATATATTTTTAGGAGTTTATAAATATTATATATAAATTTAAATTTGAGTTTATTAAATTTATAATATTAAGTATATTTATTTATACATTTAGATATATTTAATTTTGTTTTTGATAATTTGATTTATAATATTGTATTTAATAAATAAATTATAATATTTAATTTATAAATTTAATAAAACAAAAAATAATATTAATTATTAAAACAGAATTAATATATTTAAAACACAAAATATTTTATTTTTTAAATAAAACTAGTTGCGGCGTGTTTTTCATGTCACTAATTAGTGACGTGAAAAACACGTCGCTACAGCTAACGTAATATAAATGTAAGCCTGCTCTGACCCTCTGCTCTGCTCTGCTCTGAATTGTTTTAATCCTATACAGTATGTTGCGGCGTGAATTTCACGTGGCAATTTGGTGACATGTTTTTCACGCCGCAACAAGATTGTCACGCGCTATATAGCGACGTGTTTCTTAAGGTGGCAAAATTTGAGTAGTGGCGTGATTTGGGTGTTAGCAACGTGGCTTTCACGTGGCAAAACACAATTTATTTTGTAGTGAATGAGGTAAAGTTTATAATTTTTAATATTTATAGTAAGGAGGATAGAAATACATCTGGGAGGTTTGTAGTTATGCTTGAGAGTATGCGGAAGAATAGAAATGATTTTAAATGGCATAGCGAGAGGGATGAAACTCTTAAACTTGGGTGGTTGGCGTTTCATAGGTGGCAGAAGTGATTTTCCGCCCAACATTCTCAGAATGAGGATCATGGGCCACATCAAATATTATCTTGGGTTCCGCCTCCAACAGGAAGGTTTAACTGTAATGTGGATGTTGGTTTTAACAAGATTTATGATACATCTAACAGAGGTTGGTGTATTCGAGATAATTCAGAGAACTTCCATACCGCAGGTACGGCTTGGGATGTTGGCATTCTTCCTGTCATCGAAGCGGAAGCATTAACTTTTAAGGAAGTCATTCAAGGTGCTATTATTATTCAACTTGATAGAGTTATTTTTGAAAGTGAAATTTTTTTGGGCAGTACAAGCTTTACGGTCTAAAATCATTGATAATTCAGAGTTTTATGATATTATTAGAACCATTCAAACATTGTTGCTTAATTTTCTCAACTTTGAGGTAGAGTTTATAAAACATCAAATAAATATGATTGCTCACTTGTTAGTAAAGGTGGTCAATTTCTGAACTAAGCATAATTTCATACATTTATTCCTCTTTGTATTGAACTTTTAATTTATAATGAAAGAAGTTAGTTTTATTTCGTTAAAAAAACGTGTATAAATAAAACAGAAAATTATGTATGTCTAATTAATTATTATAATATATTGATGTATTTCTTTTTATTCTAATCATGTAACACTAATTATTTATTCTATATCAGCCGAGTACTTCTTTTTATTAAGTTAAAAATGATTTAAGTGAGTATTAATTAAATAGTCTAATTAAAAATTTATTTTTCAATTGCACATTAATAAAAATATAAAATGATTCTTTTTTATAAATAAATGGGTTGAAGCCTAAAATGAAAAAACTACAACACTGTAAAACATGGAAGAGACGCCCTTTATATCATTCTCTAAAACTTGTACCAAAGTGATAGGTGAAAGATGATAAGTCAAGGTATTAAGATTATGCACACATTTCATATTGGCTAGCATATTCACACACTTGTTTACTTCTAGATAAATATGATGGATTTTAACACTTCAAATCAGGCTCAAGAGGCTTCGAATCTTTTTGACAAGACTCTATCCCGAGGCATTACCTTTGTCATGCTTATCAATCATACTCACAATAATATCTGAAATCACATGCACTTATAATTTATTGTATCCCATTCTTCTAGCCATAGTTAAACTTTCCAATAATCCCTATAATTATGCTACAAATGTGTTGTGTGCGCAAGAAAAGTAAAATTTATAATTATTGTATTCAAAGAGATTGATGGTTTAAAAGACAAAATAGCAGTGATTTATTATTGTAAGTGAAAAAAGTCACTACAAGAAAATTAGTTTTTAATAACTGATTTAATGGCTAAAATATTTTAGTCACCGTAGAGATCGAATTAACCATCAAAATTTTGATATTCATGAATGAATTTTAAAAGATCG